CACCTACACACGAACAAACCAACAGACACACTTAGAAAATTATAGCGGACACTCACACTTAGCGAATTATAGACNAAACCGCATTCATGGCATTTCATTAGCAGTTAGTAATCATCCCTCAAAAGTTGCTTACTAAAGTTTACTCCCCTTGAGTATAGCAGGACGTGGCCAGTTCAATCAAACATATTGGTTAGAGGGGTGAAACCTTTCGCCGTAGTGCCTCAGATAATTTTCAAGGTCAGTTTGTAGAGCACATAGTTCGAACAGATGGGCTTTGTACATACAACTATGCGGCGTTAAGTGATACGATCTGTTACATACAATGTTTGTTATTGTGCAATGTTACTTATGCTTCGTCCGTTGCACCGATTTTTTCAAAAATTTTGAAATTAGTTATTCTTTAGGTATACATATTCATCATTAGGCACACGTATTCATGCTTCCTCTGGACTTGAATGAAAAAAATGTTATCCATACTATTAACTCAGCCCGGGGGAGGGAGGAAGTGGGCATGGTAGTTGAAGTAAAATTGAGAAGTTGCTCTGATGCTTAGGCAAAGGAAACAACAATGGTCACGCAGTAGTGCTCATGTAGGCCATGTAATCCATTGGCTGCTACTGTGGTTTTGAAACTTCTGAATAATTCATTTTATAGGTGGCATTTATTGGAATATCTGGGGAACATCAACGTTGCTCCATGAGTGGAGGTCAGAGCTGTCCTGACGGCTATATCTGTGTGAAAGGGAAGCGAAATGAGGAAATATGTTGTGCTGGAGGAGAAGGTAATGTCACTTTATGCAGACATGCAGACTGCTTATCCGATAGCAGCTTTTTGCGTGCTCATATCCACATCTAGAAGGGTAGTCTGGTGGAATGTGAACTACTCCAAAGTTTGTTTCCATTCTGATGTGTTGAAGTGAACATCACGAATTCTCAGACGAATCCGCCCTTATTTCTCACGGCTAGATCTCGGAGTCGCATTCCTACCCCCATTTGCTACTTCCCAGAAGGATTTCACAACGCCTATTGTGGGAGTGCATTCGTGTGTAAGCGTTTCTAGGAGTGAAGCCTAACTCTGTGAGAATAGCACGAAATCCAGACATTAAATTTGGGAAACATTAGCTGATGTACTAACACAAACGTTCGGCGGCTCACCATTCCTCATCGTTTCATTGATGATGCTCAGCATAATGATGGCTTTTGCCGAAATCACCGATTTCTATGATTACGCGTTTTGCTTATTTTCACATTTTCTTATTCTGTTTCGAACTTGTTCCAAATTCTGCACCTGCCCATACATGTTCTCGTAACCGGGAGGATAACAAATCAACACCCAACAACAAACACCTCATTATCGAAGTTACCCGCAGACAAGTCTTGTAAGTTGTTCATGGAACGGAAGGTACTCCAGAAAGCAGAAACTGTTAGCAAACATTGTTGGGTGCTGCCTGACTACCTGAACGTTCCTGCAGCGACAAAGCAACTTTTAGTGTGCGAAGCATCGCACGTGTCCGTGGATGGTCGTTGCTTACCACGTCAGCTCATCGGTTCCCCGTGCGAGCATTCTTCTCAATGCTTGGGAGACTCATACTGTCGAAACTTGTCCTGTCAGTGTCCTGAGGGCACAGCTGAGGAGAAGCAACGTTGTGTGACCATCAAGAAAGGTAAGGTGTTCTCTTCGGCTGAACATCTAAGTTAGCTTTGGTATTGCAGAATGTGACGCTAACCAAGTGCTACACGATAACGAGTGCCTGCCCATGGTGTCATTGGGTAGAGCGTGCGTCATTGATATTCAGTGTAGAGGAGCAGGGGAATGTATTGCAGGAGTTTGTGACTGCCCCTCTGGTATGATTCGGAAGGTCAGTAACATTTCCTTTGCTTTATTAATGAATTCCAAAAATTATTTCTTCCACAGGGTGATCGGTGCGAACGTGTGCCCGTCATTGTGAAGACCGTACGGAATCCTACGTCGTTTCGCCCCACCATTGATGGATCAACTAACCAAAACGAGCTCAATATACGCCCAACGACGGCGTCAGGTGAATGCTAATGAGTAGGCTAGGGCGTATCTTTAAGTTGTTGAAAACAAGGAGCTTTTAAGGTCTCTGCCCGCCTCCACGACTACCGTATCGAGTCAATGACATTCCTATACAGTGTGCTTCGGGACAAATTTGTCCGAAAAGCTTCACCTGTACATATTCGCGATCAGTGCAGAACTATTTTTGTTGTTCGAACATCAACCAAACGAAAAATGACAGTGAGCTTTCTGCTCACATACATTTTCTAGGATTCTTTCAACCCCGTTATTTCATTTAACATTAATAAACTCAGGAAGTTCCTACATACTCAGTTTCAGAATCGCGAAACGTCTGTGCTCTCGGAGAGCCGCTTCTTTATCCGACAACTGGTCAAGCCATTCAGTGCTCACGAACTCGCAGATGTCCGCCGGGATTCGCATGCAAACGCAATCCGACCGGCGACCTCTTTTACTGCTGCACCGTTCCGAAACCTCTGGCCATGGACCAGTATATCAGTCGAGTAAGTGTTTCAACCAGTTTGGTTCTCCGACCGAGTTCACCTTTCTTTCGGTGATGTTCGTAGTTTTCATGCTCCACTCTCCTCTCCTGCTCCTATTATTCAAAAGACGTTAGTCCTTAGAAGTGACCACTTCTGTGAGAAATATATGTTTATGGAGGCGATTTCTCAACCGATTCCCCCGTCCTCTAACTCCTCTATTGACACTGTGAAACGCAGCCAGTGCACCATATACTAGTACCACCTATATTAAAACCAGTCGGGTCACTCTGCTAAGGCCGGGCTTCTCTCCTCTTGCAACAAGGCTGTGATATTCGGATAGACGATCACCCCTCCTTCAGAACAAACGATACTTTTCTGGTAATATCAATTATGCATCAACCTATTATACTTACACATACTAATAGATACTTACAAATGGAAACGAAATTCGACACAGAACCAGAGAGGTACTGCATATGGTACTTAGTTCGTGCTGATGCTTATGTCTATGATCAGAAAGAAGTCTCCATCTGTTCCTCATTTTAAAAATAATAGGTCGATGCACAATTATTGCGGATTTTTACGCGGCTTCTTTTTTCTCGATTCAATTTCAGTATTGACAGAAATATGTCTAAAAAGTCATCTTTATACTATACGCCACACTATGCCCTGCTACTTCGAGAAAGGTTGGAAGGTGGCACAGTCATCAAGTGATCTCAACGAACGTCTCGGCGATGAAGCAGTCAGCCAAAGTCGAACAAAGAATGGAATATGCTTCTACGGTCGCCCTATTCACCAACAGAAAATCCTATGGATTACCACGTGATCATCCGTTGAAAAGTTGGCTAACGAACACAATTTTCGTCGAAATGGATGGCTTGAGGCCGTCGTCAAGGCGTGAATCGCCTCCAGGTATCGAAACTTCTCCGCCTTGGGAAATCTACTGTCTAGCAAATGGGAAGTAGCGCTTGACGTGGATTGTGGACGCGTTCCAGAGTAATTATTTGAACATGCCTTTGCTTATTATTTCTATCGTTTCTTCAAGTAAAATTTGCTGAAAGAAATCCGCAATAATTATGCATCAATCTAATAATTAGACATCAAAAGGCAACCGAAGCTCTGAGTGGTATTCACAAATGTTGTCGAGTGAAGATAACACCACCATCAGATGCCATTACTACTAGAACTTTTTCTTTGCGGATACATCACTAGTTTAGTCACTGACCAATAAGTCTATTACTCTCTTGTTATTAATATTGTAGATTTGGGATTTGGTTTTTAGTAGGTGGTGTGGGACGTAAAGGAACCGTAGCTGATTTGTAGCAAGTACTAATAACAAGCGATGAGGGCTTGTGAAGAGCCATAGAGGGTTAGAGCTACTAAGTCTATACCGCACTTCGTGTTAGTGAAATCTTTTCATTTCAACTGATGATGTAGGAGGCGGCGTAGACGTAGGTACTCCGCTGCAAGAACTGATAACAACTTGTGAGAGCGGAAAGGGGGCACTGGAGGGTAAGAGCCCTCCACCAGTTAAACCTAAACGGTTTCCATATTTAGATCCAACTTTGACTTTCGATATGTCTCGATAAGACTGGTATATGCAGTGATAGGGAAATTATATTCACTTCTAGCTCTAAGATTACGGCAGATACCGAAAAGTTTTGTGTTTCACTGAAGAATCGCGATTTCTCCTTGTTTCGATTTCACGACAATCACGACTTGCGACAAAACTTATCCGACCACCAGTAATCTGGGATTCTCGCCTTTCAGTGCTCGTTATCAAATCCTATGCTTCTATCGATCCCTGTCAACAAACATCTACGGTCCCTCACTGATCTGCACCATTCACTGAAGCGCCAAGGTCACACTGTTAAGCGAAGGATATAACGGATCCTGTTGTTCTTGCCTTCCAGGGCTCCTAATCAGTTCCTATCAACTGTGATCACTACCTATCACCTACCATCCGTGTTCCCTTTATGCCACCTGTATTTTTTCTAGATCTGGCACTCTAGGTCCAGGAGGACAGGAATCATGAATCTCCAGTCAACACACGCAAATCGACCCACCTACACAAGAACAAACCAACAGACACACTTAGAAATTATAGCGGACACTCACACTTAGCGAATTATAGACTATGGTAGGATAATATGAAGAAGTAAAAATTTGGACGGCATGGGAATAAGTCGACTGGCGACTAGTTAAAGGATAGGACATCCGGTGAAGTGTCACATACTATCGGGACCTCTAAGGTCACACTGTTCACGCGAAGGATGTAACGGATCCTGTTGTTCTTGCCTTCCAGGGCTCCTTATCAGTTCCTATCAACTGTGATCACTACCTATCACCTACCATCCGTGTTCCCTTTATGCCACCTGTATTTTTTCTAGATCTGGCACTCTAGGTCCAGGAGGACAGGAATCATGAATCTCCAGTCAACACACATAAATTGACCCACCTACACACGAACAAACCAACAGACACACTTAGAAAATTATAGCGGACACTCACACTTAGCGAATTATAGACTATGGTAGGATAATATGAAGAAG